CTCACTAACGCACCAGCCACATTTCAGGCGGAAATGAACCACATCCTTTGGCCCCTTCTGGACGAGTGCGTGGTGGTATATTTGGACGATATCCTGATCTACTCGAAAGATATGAAGCAGCACGTTGAGCATCTACGACGGGTGTTTGAAATTCTTCGACGAGAACGCTTCTACGTGAAACTATCCAAGAGCGAGTTCGCGTTGAAAAAAGTCCAGTTCCTTGGACATATGGTGAGCGCTCAAGGAGTTCACGTGGATCCTAAGAAGATCGAAGCAGTGCGAACGTGGAAGACCCCTGAGAACGTGAAGGAGTTACAACAGTTCCTTGGATTCGCCAACTACTACAACCGGTTCGTACCGAACTACGCCAAGATTGCCGCACCATTAACGAACCTGTTGAAGAAGAATACACCATATCAATGGGAGGCGAAGCACCAGGAAGCAGTGGAACAACTTAAAACCGCACTCACGTCCGCACCTGTTCTTATCCTGCCAGACACTGAACTTGACTATGTCATCGAGGCCGATGCTAGCGATCAAGCAGTGGGCGCAGTACTCATGCAGGATCAAGGGAAGGGACTACAACCCATTGCATACCTCAGTAAAAAACTTCACGGGGCAGAACTCAATTACCCCATCCATGACAAAGAGGCCCTCGCCATCGTCAACGCATTTAAGGCATGGAGGTTTTATCTTGAAGGAAGAAAAACGACTGTCTACACCGACCACTGCAGCCTCAAGTACCTGAAGACCCAACCAACACTCTCCAGGCGGCAGGTCCGGTGGATTGACTTTCTCGAAACCCACTTCCATTACGACATCGTGTATAAGCCGGGGCACAAGAACAAGGCAGACGCACTGAGTCGCCCTGCACACGTTGCCGCCTTACAAATCGATGGCATGAACCCACTTTTGAAGGGACTCTTCACACATGGATACACCATCGACCCCGAAGTCTCTGTAGCAGAAAAGCGCCATCTTCTACATTGGGATCAAGACATCGCATACCGCAAGGGCTCCACAAAAATATGGGTACCTAATTACCCTCCCTTACGCCAGTTACTGCTCGAAGAATATCATGATGTTCTCTACGCGGGCCACTTCGGTAGTAACAAGACGCTTGCCGGTATTGCGAAGCATTATTATTGGCCCCACATGGCGGATGACGTACAAAAATTCGTCACCTCGTGCGACACATGCCAACGGATGAAGAGCAGCAAACAGAAGAAAGCAGGATTACTACAGCCTCTTCCAGTCCCTGAACAACCTTGGCAAGTGGTTAGCCTCGACTTCATCACCGGGTTACCACCTACCAAAGCTGGTTACGACGCCATTCTAGTCGTCATCGACAAATTCTCCAAAATGGGACACTTCATTCCGACACACACAACGGCTCGTACCGAGGAGACAGCGCAATTATTCTTCCGCTACGTCATCTCGCAACATGGCATTCCAACCACGCTGATCTCCGACAGAGACCCGAAATTCACGAGTAAATTCTGGAAGGAGCTCATGTCGCTCATGGGGACCAAACTCGCCATGTCATCAGCCTATCATCCCCAAACGGATGGTCAGACAGAGCGCCTCAACCAGATTGTCGAACAGCTTCTGCGAGCAGCGTGTAAGGACGATATCTCTAAATGGGATGCACATCTGCCGGTTCTCGAGTTTGCGTATAACAACGCCACGCACGCCGCAACAGGGCAAACTCCTTTTTTCCTCTGTTACGGTCGCAACCCACTCACGCCTCAGAAACCAACAGTACCCGCCACGGTGCAACCCGCACATGACTTCATTTCCACTATGCACCAATTGTGGGAGCGCACGCATAAACGTCTTCTGACTATCCAGCAGCAACAAAAGAAGCTCGCTGATCGGAGTCGCAACGACCATTCCATCCAGATTGGCGATCAGGTGCTTCTGGATACACGCAATCTCGACATTAGCCATCTTCCGTCTAAGCTCCGACCTCGCTTCTGCGGACCTTTTCTCGTCGAGGCGCAGGTCACTCCAGTAACCTTCCGCTTGCGTTTACCAGCTACCTGGAGGATTCACAATGCCTTCCATGTTCAACTTCTCAAGCCCTATCGGGACCCAAACACGGTCTTCAAAGGTCGCCAGCCGCCGCCGCCACTGCCAGTGATCGTTAATGGGGAACCCGAGTACGAAGTCGAAGCCGTTCTGGCGCACCGACGACGACGTAGCGGCACCTTGGAGTTCTTGATTCGTTGGAAAGGCTATGATCCTTCCGAGGATACCTGGGTACCTGAACACGACATGGATAACACCCGCCGTCCTCTGCAGGACTACCTTGTCAAGCAGGGTGTTACTTCTACCACCCAGCTTTGAGGGGGGGAAGTGTGAGAGGACGTCCCCGTTATAATATTTTCTCACTATTATATTTTTCCGTTATCCTATTCTCCCTTTTCTCCTCTTTATTTTGGTATTTATCTCATCTCAATCGGCCTACTATTCTATTTTCTAGAGCCTTCTATTTATTTCTCTTATTTCCTACTTTTCCCACCGACATACCTATTATACGGCACCGACAGCGCCGACAGTGGTGTATACGGTGTAATCTGGGCGTAATCCCAAGTGCCAATAGACTTGCGTGCTTATGCGCACTTGTGATTGTAGTATCGGGAAGGGTGTGTTCCCGAAGGTTCGTTTTATCTCGTTTATCCTTGTACTTTCTGAGTATAAATAGGCCTTGTATTCAGTTTTAGTGACAAGTTTCGATTGAGAATTCGATCCTGTGACAAAAGGGGCACGCAGAGGAGCAGTGGACGGACGCAGAGACATCCGGTGCGTGCCAAGAACAGGAGGAGGACGCTGACGTGAACCACGACCACTAGTGCGAGCAGCACGGACAGGCGACGCAGGGCGAAACGCAGGCTCACGACGCTCAGTAAGACCTCCAGTAGGACCAGTGTAGGGAGAAGGAGCAGGCAAAGGGGAGGTAGGCTGCAGCGGTAACTGTGACGGGACAGACTGTGGACACTCTAAGGGAGGAGGAGGACCAGTAGAAGGCGGAAGACCAAGAACCTGCTGCAGGAGTGGAACGAAGTACGGTCGAGGCCGCGTGGCGACGCCAGAAGCAGCAGGGACAGCACCAATACCCCAGCAGGAGCACCCGCTCCAGCAGCACCTCCAGCAGCTCCAGAACCTCTAGTACCACCAGGAGCACCCCCAGCAGGACCGCCAACGGTAGTCTCAGCGCCAACACCCTCAGCAGCACCAGCTCTAGTCGAACCTGCAGGCCCAGCAGCTTTAGTACTCCCAGTACGAGCACCTCCGGGACCCGCGACAGCAGCACCCTCAGCAGCCGAAGAACCCCCAGCACCATTAGTATGGCGCCAGCGCCGGACAAACCACTCGCGCAGCTCGTGTGGAGATAGTGGCTCCCGGCGAGACGAAGCACCCGGAGAACCTCCAGGCGGAGCACCTCCAGGCTCAGCACCCCGAGGCGTAGCACCCCCGGACGCAGCACCCCCAGGCTCAGCACCCCCAGGCTCAGCACCCCCAGGCTCAGCACCCCCAGGCGTAGCACCCCCAGGCTCAGCACCCCCAGGCTCAGGACCCCTAGGCTCCGCACCCCCAGGCCCAGCACCCCCAGGCTCAGCACCCCCAGGCCCAGCACCCCCAGAGTCATCACCCCCAGGCTCAGCACCCTCAGCAGCACCAGATTCACCAGTGACCTCGACAGGCTCGCCTGCGTCTACCTGAAGGGGCAGGACACACCTGAAGGGGCAGGACCCTGAGGGGGGAGGGGGTCTACCTGGGGGGGACCTGGTACAAGGAAGAGCGGGGGCGGGGGGAGGGACGGAGTGCGGTAGGGGAAGAGGCGGTAGTAGGGGACCGACTTGTCAAACGTGACGTCCTGGGAGGACAGAACACGGCGAGAGGTGGGGTAGTAGAACTGCCACCCAGGCGCGTCAGGGGGGAACCCCAGGAAGACAAAAGGAGCAGCACGAGGGGACAGCTTGTCCGCAGACAAGTCGCGGACAAACGCCCGAGATCCCCAGACCCGGAACGCCGACGCATCGCCAACCTTCCCCGTCCACGGCAAGGCTGGAGAGGTCTCCGGCCTGGAGACCCTGGGGTGAAGGTTGATCTGATGCGTCGCGTACCTCACCGCAAACGGCCACAGAAAATGGGTGGCAGCTGCATGCATCATAGACGTACGAGCGACGTCCATGACCATGCCAATGCGGCGCTCAGCAATCCCATTCTGCTGTGGAGAGTCCGGAAGTGTGAAGGTCTGGCGGATGCCTCGTGCACGATAGTAGGCTCGCAGAAGGCCAGAGGAGAACTCTCTGCCTCTGTCCAAGTACAGACGCAGAACAGGAAAGTCCGAGCCAAAGCTCTGCCTGAGCTGGACACGAGCTGCGCGGATCCAGTCGATCAGCACCTCAGTGACATCACCCTTGCTGCGCAAGGGGAAAACGGCGGTGTAACGCGAGTAGTCGTCAACAACGAGCAGGAAGTAGCGCTCGTGACCCTGTCCATGGACGCGGGCTGGGCCCCACACGTCCATGTGAAGTGTCTGCAACGGGGCCTCTGTCGGAGGAAACTGGGAGGAGTGCGGGGCAGCACGTTGGCGCCCCTCGACACAGGGGACACAGGTAGGGCCAGGGCCCTGAGGAAGGGGAGGGAGGGACCGGGGGAGACCAGACACAAGAAGACGGGAGGCCATGCCTCTGAGCCGAAGCAGAGAGGGGTGACCAAGGCGGTGGTGCCAGAGGAGAGTCTCGTGAGACAGGAGATGACACGAATAGGGGGCAGACTCAGGACCAGACCTGGACGCTGCAGCAAACATCTGACCTCACGCAGCGACTCTACCAGACTCAGCAACGGGAGGAGACGCAGTGGTCAGTGTGTACAGGCTCGACCCCGGCTGACGGGTAAACGTAGCCAGGTTTCGGCCTGTGCTAGCCTCTGTGCAGTGCGTCACCCGCTGACGCGCAGGAGTGAACTGGTGTACACCCGCATCCTGTAGGTCAGCACCACTCACCAGGTTCGTAGAGAACGAGGGGAGGTAGAGACCAGACAGGGTGCCAGAGGGTGCCGCCGGACACGGGAGGACTGTGGAGAAGCGAGACAGGACGGGACCCCCAGAGGGGTCAGCCAGAGACACCGCAACCGGCCGACTAAGCGGCGTGAGAGTGGTGCAGTCCCGAAAGAAGGAGCGAAACACCCCAGAGTCAAGGGTGAAGGTGAGGGAGGCCGAAGCCGACGTAGTACCTGAGAGCGCAGACTCACCAGTACCTGAGGACGCAGACACACTAGCACCTAGAGCAGCAGCGTCGCAAGCACCTAGGGCAGCCGCGTCACCAGTACCTAGAGCAGCAGTCTCAATGCCCGGATCGGGCGGGAAACACCGGTAACAGTCACCCTCATCACTAATAGATACAGCATACATGGCAGAGAGAATAGCATCAAAGTCAAGATCATAGATAGCAACACCCGCCCTAGACAGCTCGCCCCAACGAGGGATCTCTGAGGCCTCCGGGAACTGGTGACGCCACGCGTCCGTCAGGCGGCCGAAGCAGCGCTGGGTGGGGTGCGCACCCCCACACTGCTCACCCGCACGGTCGCCGGTGCGCAGGACGTAGGTGCACGGACCAAAACCCCCACCCCGCTGGCGTGCAGTGTACCACTCACGGAGCTGCTGAGGGGACTGGGTCTCACGACCGCGCTGCTGCTGCTGGCGCGAGCCACCACCGGAGCCACTCCTCTGCGAAGACCCGCGACCAGCTCCACCGCCACCCCCACCGCCTCCGCCGCCTCCGCTACTGCCACCGCCTCCGCTGCCTCCTCCACCGCCGCCACCTCCGCCACCTCCGCTCCCACCGCCACCGCCGCCGCCGCCTCCGCCTCCACTGCCGCCACCGACCCCTCCACTCCCACCTCCACTCCCACCGCCACCCCCACTCCCCCCACCGCCTCCACCTCCACCTCCACCGCCCCCGCTCGCTCCTCCAGCGCCCCTGCCCCCCTTGCCCTTGCCAGGGCGGCGTCTCCCGCTAGGGGCAGACGCCGCACCGACCGACTCAAGACCAAGGAGGTCGGCCGCAGCAGCAGAGGCAACAGAGGGCAGCAGGGGGGAGGGGGAACACCCCTCAAAGATGGGGGTGCGCGGGTCACCTCGAGAGGCTCCTACAGCGACTATGCTCTTCTCTATCACGAGGAAGGCCTTCTCGAGGAGGTCAACAGTGAGAGTGGTGGGACAGACTGAGAGGAAGTGGTCCCTGACTACTTGAAGGGAGTCAGGGAGGCGAGTGACTATGTAGTAGAGAGTGATTTACATGGGGGGGGGGGGGGGGTTCTTGGCGCAGAAGTCAGCAGGAAGTGCAGCGCGGTAGCGAGTGTCACTAGTGTGGAGGTGCGTAATGAGGTCAGCTACTGTGGGAAAGGCAGCAAGGTCAGGGAAGAGGTACGGTAGCATGAGACGGTTCAGTGCAGCAGTGGCAGGGGAGGAGTAGCGCGCTACTACAGCGTCGTACAAGGTCTGAGCACTCTTGTACTGACTAAAGTGCGCACGCTCGGAGGTAGGGAGGTGGCGACGCACAGCAAGACGTGCAGCAGCGTCGCGCCTTGCCCACTGGGAACGAACAGTGGCGTCAGCATCAGCAGCAGGGGCAGGAGAAGCGCCAGAGGTGAGGTCAAAGAGAGAGAGACCGTCTGCCCTATCGCACTGTAAGAACAGCTGCAGGTCATCTACCCAGACCTCAAAGTCAATGGCCCGACCCTCAGCGTCAAAAGCGAGGACACTAGGGGTAGCCATGACCACAGACGACTAGCAGTGCAAATAGTAGGGGGAGGGAGTGCGGTAACAGAGGCGCTGCTCTCACCAGACAGGGCGGTTCGGGCAGCTCGTTAGCACAGCAGCTCGGCAACACGGCGGCTCGGGCGACTCGGCAGCTACTGCGGCTCGGCTCCTCAGCTGCTCAGGCGGCTCGGGCGGCTCGGGCGGCTCGGGCGATTCGTGCGGCTCGGGCGGCTCGGCTGCGTAGGGCGGCAGGGCCGCTGGTAGGGTGGCGAGGCCACAGGTAGGGCGGCGGGGCCGTTGGTAGGGCGGCGAGGCCGCTAGTAGGGCGGCGGGGCCGCAGGTAGGGCGTCGGGGCCGGGTCGAAGGTAGGGCGACGGGGCCGGGGCGCAGGTAGGGCGGCGGGGCCAGGGTCGCAGTGGGGCGACGGGGCCGAGGTCGCAGGTAGGGCGACAGGGCCGAGGCGCAGGTAGGGCGACGGGGCCGGGGCGCAGGTAGGGCGACGGGGCCGGGTCTCAGGTAGGGCGACGGGGCCGGGTCGAAGGTAGGGCGACGGGGCCAGGGCCGGGGCGCAGGTAGGGCGGCGGGGCCAGGGTCGCAGTGGGGCGACGGGCCCGGGGCGCAGGTAGGGCGACGGGGCCGGGGTCGCAGGTAGGGCGACGGGGCCGGGGTCGCAGGTAGGGCGACGGGGCCAAGGTCGCAGGTAGGGTGTCGGGGCCGGGGTCGCAGGTAGGGCGACGGGGCCGGGGTCGCAGGTAGGGCGACGGGGTCGGGGCGCAGGTAGGGCGACGGGGCCGGGGCGCAGGTAGGGCGACGGGGCCGGGGCGCAGGTAGGGCGAGGGGGCCGGGGTCGCAGGTAGGGCGACGGGGCCGGGGCACAGGTAGGGCGTCGGGGCCGGGGCGCAGGTAGGGCGACGGGGCCGAGGTCGCAGGTAGGGCGACGGGGTCGCTAAGGTGGCGCGACAAAGGGAGAGAGGGGAGCGCGACTCGGGGAGCGCGCTCCGGGCAGGAAAAAAAACATTCGATGTGGTGGGCCCTAGGCACAGTTCCCACGAGGGAACCTGCTCGATACCATGAGAAAAGTGAAACGAGAATGAATGAACTATGAATGAAGTGGGTACAAGTACTAACCCTAATTGGGTTGTACCCCTTATGGGATACCCCATTACAGCCTACACAAATGTATAAGCTATATAATGTTCTGACACCTATTCCTCAGGGAGTAGGTTTCATCGTGTTTATATTATGGAGACCATAAAATACATAATTGTTTTCTGGAGAATATACATCACTATACCTGACCAAAACAATAAACTCCAATCGAAAACGGATACGACCCGGGAAGGCATCAACCGTAAACACCGGGCAGGTTCTCGCGTTTAGGGTTGATCCTCTCGAAAATGCGTCCAAATTTGCTAGGGTTTTTTTTTCTGTCCTGCCCTAACAGTTTCCGGTAGCGTCGTCTAGTGCTTTGGTAGTGATAAAGTGCGGAATCAAGTTAACAGGGCTGTACTCGCTATGGAGTAACCCACTGCTGACTAGACAAATATAACATTCTGACACATCCCCATAGGCAAAGTGGGGTATAATCAGCACAGCAAGCAGTCCCATAATAAGTTCACAAGCACAAGTAAAGCTAATGGCAGGCATAGAGGGCTCGCGAGGAGGAGGAGGGACTATGAGAGGAGAGGAGATTGGAGGCGGCTGCTGAAGCTGCTTGCACACGGGCGACTGGAGCAGCTGGTGCACTGGCTATCGGAGCAAGGGCCCCGGACTACTGGAGTAACTGGCTCCGCGGCTAAGACGAGCGGCTGGAGCAACGAACCCACGGGCGATTAGCGCAACGGGCTCGCTGGCTACCGGAGCAAGGGCATCCGGGCTACTGGTGCTGCTGGCTCCACCACAGCTACCTTCGTTCAACCTCCCCCCATTGCCCCCAACCCCTTTCTCACATCCCCCCCAGCATCTCTACCACCACTCCCTCGGCTCCCACACACCCCCCCCCCCCAGGGGCAACAGCAGCAATGGGAGAGAGAGGAGGAGGAGGAGGAGCAGGGGAGTTCACACACTCGTCACGCCATACCAGCCACCCCCATACCCGCCACCCCCACACCAGGAGGTTGCCCGGCGGCTACAGTGGGGTGGCGTGACGGGTGCACAAGAGGGGGGGGGGGCGGGGGGGGGGGGGGAGGAGGGGGGGGGGCTGCGCGTCGGGTGCACGGGGGCCGCGCGCGGCTCCACGGGGCGGCGCCACGGGCGCACGGGGGCTGCGCGCGGCTCCACGGGACAGCGCGCGGGTCCGCTGGGCCCGCACGCTGCTCCACGGGGCGGCGCGACGGGTGCACAGGGCCCGCGCGCGGCTCCACAGGGCGCACGAGGCATCTAGCGGGCTGCACAGGGGCGACGTGACAAGAGCCCGGGGGCGACGCGACGAGAGCTCGGGGCGACGCGACGGGAGCCCGGGGCGACGCGACGGGAGCCCGGGGCGACGCGACGGGAGCCCGGGGGGACGCGACGGGTGCACGTGGGGCGACGCGATGGGAGCCCGGGGCGGTGCGACGGGAGCAGTAAACTGCCGCGCGCTTCGGGCACGCGGCGGGCAGAAAAATCACCGTGCGCCCTGAGGTGCGTGGCGGGCAGAGAACCGCCATGCGCCCCGAGCGCATGGCGGGAAAAAAAACGTCGCGCGCCACGGGACGCACGACAGACAGAACAACAGCGGAAGCAGGTGGGCCCACAGGGCAGGAGCGTACTCACTCTGATAGCATGTCAGAAACTAACGAGCAGGAATAATTGCATTGACATCAAACTGAGTACAAGCATAACCCTAATTTGGTTGTACCCCATATAGGCTACCCCACTACAGCCTACACAACACAATTAGCATTATAGTTTGACACACCCCCATAGGCGAAGTGGGGGAGAACAAGGGGTCACAAGACCAGTCAAGAAAAGCAAAGCAAGCTCAGGGTGGATCACAAAGTCACCACACACTCTGAGCACAAGCAAATGGCCACAGGGTCGGTCCACATGCAGAGTTATATAAAAGACAGCAAACAGTACAATGATCACTACCTAGCAAGAGTAAGCATGCAGGTATATATATAGGTCACAGTACAAGCAAAGTCAAGCAGTGAGGAAGTGAGGCAAAATAGGCACAAGGCCGAACACAGTACAAAAGCGCTGATGATCACAAGGCTGAAGTGCCTTGGTGAATATATCAGCAGTGTTGGCCCGAGTGGCCACGTAAGCAAGACGAAGCTGACCACGCTGCTGCAACTCTCGGGCAAGGAAGAAATGCAGAGCGATGTGCTTCATTCTGTGCTCCAGTCTGTGCTCCTGACACAAGGCAATTGCAGCCTTGTTGTCTACGTACAGATTTGGAGGAGAACGAGGCCGCTCTCCCAAGTCGGTCAGCAGGTAGGTGAGCCAGCGTAACTCCCGTGCAGCCATGGCTGTCAAGTAGATCTCAGGAGGACACTCACGAGGAACACGGCGACTAGTGCGACCAGCGCAAACAGGCGAGGCAGGACGAGACGCAGGCTCACGATGCTTAGTAAGACCTCCTGTCTGCTCAGTGTAAGGATAGGGAGCACGCAGTGGGGCGCCTGGCTGGAACGGGAGACCAGTAGAAGACGGGAGACTAAGAACCTGGTAAAGCACCGAGTTATGCGACGGCAGAGACGACGGTGATGGCGGAGCGAAGAACAGACGCGGCGGTGGAGCACCACCAGTACCAGCTCCTCCAGCACCAGCACCCCTAGTACTAGTACCAGAAGCTCCAGGGTCTCCAGCAGCTCCACCACCTCCAGCTCCCGGGTCACCAGCTCCAGCGCCTAGAGTTCCAGGGCCTCCAGCTCCAGAGTCTGCAGCACCACCAGCTCCGGCCGCGCCAGTACCTCCAGCTCCCGTGCCTCCAGCCACAGCGGCTCCAACCCTAGCAGCGCCACTCTGAAGGCGGCAGTGCTGAGTGTACCACTCGCGTAGCTGCTGCGGCGAGAGAGCACCTCCAGAACCTCCAGGATTAGCAGTGCCATCAACACCAGCACCACCGGTGGAGACAGTACCACCAGCTCCGGCAGCTCCAATACCTCCAATACGAGCACCCCCGGGACTAGCAGCTCCAGCACCTCCAGCAACAGCACCACCACCACCAGCTCTAGCAGCTCCTGTACCTCCAGTACGAGCACCCCTGGGACCAGCAGTCCTAGCACCTCCAGCAGCAGCAGCACCATTACCAGCTCCAGCAGCTCCAGTACCTCCAGTACGAGCACCTCCGGGACTAGCAGCTCCAGCACATCGAGCACCAGCACCTCGAGCACCAGCACCACCACCAGCTCCAGGACCAGCAGCTCCAGGGCCTCCAGCTCCAGCAGCACCACGCCAAAGCCTATAGCGCCGAGCGTACCACTCGTGCAACTGCTGTGGTGAGAGAGGCTCCCGTAGTGTAGACGCAGGACCCCTAGGCTCAGCACCCCCAGACGCAGCACCCCCAGGCTCCGCACACTCAGGCTCAGCACCCCCAGGCTCCGCACGCTCAGACGTAGCACCCCCGGGCTCCGCACTCGCAGGCTCAGCACCTCCAGGCTCCTCACGCTCAGGCTCCGCAGCCGTAGGCTCAGCACCCCCAGGCTCCTCGCGCACAGGCTCAGCACCCCTAGACTCCTCACACTCGGGCTCAACACCCGCAAGCTCAGCACCCCCAGCAGCACCAGAGTCACCAGTGACCTCGACAGGCTCAAACAAAGGGAGTGGGTCTACCTGAGACACACCTGAAGGAGCAGGATCCTGAGGGGGGATGGGGTCTACCGGAGGGGGACCTGGAGCAAGGAAGAGGGCAGGGGAGGGGGAGGGGCAGTGCGGTAGGGGAAGAGACGGTAAAAGGGAACCGACTCGTCAAACGTGACGTCCTGAGAGGACAGAACACGGCGCGAGGCAGGGTGGTAAAACTGCCAGCCAGGCGCGTCAGGGGGAAAACCAAGGAAGACACAGGGAACGGCGCGGGCGGAGAGCTTATCCGCGGAGGTATCGCGAACAAAGGCACGAGATTCCCAGACCCGGAACTCTGACGCATCGCCAACCTCTCCCGTCCAACGCTGTGTCGGCGAGGTCTCCGGCAACAAGACACGGGGCCAGAGGTTGACCTGATGCGCAGCGCACCAGACCGCAAACGGCCACAGAAAATGGGGGGCAGCCGCATGGATCATGGAGGTACGAGCGACCTCCATGACTAGGCTAATGCGGCGCTCAGCAACCCCATTCTGCTGCGGAGAGGCCGGAATCGTGAACGTCTGGCGAATGCCCTCCCCACGACAAAAGTCCTGCAAGAGGTCGGAAGAAAACTCACCACCTCTGTCAGAGTGCAGACGCAGGACGGGAAGGTCCGTCTTAAACCGCTCGCGGAGCTGGAGACGAACAGTGCAGATCCAAGGGATCGGAACATCAGGGACCTCCCCCTTGCTGCGCAAGGGGAAGACCGTGGTGTAACGTGTGTAGTCATCGACAACTAGGAGAAAGTACCGCTCGCAGCCCTGACCCTGGACGTGGGTTGGGCCCCACACGTCCAAGTGGAGAGTCTGCAGGGGAGCAGTCTTCGAGGGAAACGAGGAGGAGTGAGGAGCGGTGCGCTGCCGCCCCTCGACACAGGGAATGTGGAAACAAAGAACGAGAATGAAATGACTATGAACGAAGTGAGTACAAATAGGAAACCCTAATTGGGTTGTACCCCCTATGGGATACCCCACTATAGCCTACAGAAACAAGTAAGCTATAAGTTCTGACACACCCCCATAGGCAAAGTGGGGGAGAACAAGGGGTCACAAGACCAGTCAAGCAAAGCAAAGCAAAGCTCAGGGTGGATCACAAAGTCACCACGCATTCCGAGCACAAGTTCAAAGGCCACAAGGCCAGTTCACATGCAAGATCATATATAGAGATATACAAGAACAAGAGTATATATATGCGAAAGTACAAGCAAGGTCAAGAGGAGAGCAAGTGAGGCAAGACAGGCACAAGACCCAACTGCGTGCAGCAACGCTGATGATCACAAGGCGCAAGTGCCTTGGTGAAGACATCAGCAGTGTTGGCCTCAGAGGCCACGTACGCAAGTCGCAACTGTCCACGCTGCTGTAGCTCACGAGCAAGAAAGTAACGAAGAGCAATGTGCTTCGTTCTGTGCTCCAGTCGCTGCTCTCGACACAAGGCCAGCATGGCCTTGTTGTCTACATACAGGACTGGAGGAGAACGAGGCTGCTCTCCAAGGTCGGTCAGCAGGTAGGTGAGCCAGCGTAACTCCTGTGCAGCCATAGCCCCAGCGTAGATCTCAGCCTCACAACTGGAGCCGAGAACAGAAGACGAGCGGGTAGCCCGCCACGAGACAGAGCCGGAACCAAGGCTGAAGGTGTAACCCTGTGACGACCGCTGCGTAGCCTGGTCGTCAGCCCAAGAAGCGTCTGCGTGCCCAGTGAGGACCACTGGACTGCGCCCTCCAAGCACTAGCCCCATGCCCGACGTACTGCACAAGTAGCGCAACACCCTCTTCGCTGCAGCCATGTGCTCTGGTCGGTGTCTCCCAGGAGCAACAAAGCGTGCGAGAATGCTAAGAGGGTATGCGAGGTCAGGTCGTGTGCAGGTCATCAGGTACATGAGGCAGCCAACAAGCTCTGCAAACGGGCCACTCGACTCTACGGACTCATCCGAAGGCAGAGCTGAGAGCGAGTGGCGAGTAGGCAGAGGAGTGGCCTGAGGCGAGGAGTACGTGAAGCCGAAGCGCTGAAGGACCTGCTGCACCATGTGTGACTGAGTCAGGGTAATGGTGCGGCGTGCTCTGTCCCGGGTGATCTGCAAGCCAAGGTAGCTGCGCAGTTCACCCAGGTCAGTACACGTGTGTCTCTTCTGCAGCTCGGACTTCACGTAGGCAAGTCCAGCAGTGTCAGCTGTGGCAAAGACCAAGTCGTCGACGTACACGAGGATGTAGAACGGCGGCAGAGAGGTGTCGGTGCGCAGAAACAGCGACGGGTCGGCAGTGGAAGGAGCAAACCCAAGTGCCGCGAGCGTAGTCCTCAGTGTGTCGTGCCACTCACGTGGCGCCTGGCGGAGACCGTAGACTGGACGCCGGAGACTCCACTGGGTACCAGGAGGGAAAGACCCAGTGAAGCCAGGTGGGCGACGCAGCCAGATCTCCTCGTGCAGGCTGCCCTGCAAGAAAGCTGTGCTGAAGTCGAGAGAGTGCAGCTCGTAGTCACGGTGAGCAGCAACGTGTAGCAGAACCCGAAGAGTGGTCATCTTCGGGGTGGGGGAGAAGGTCTGAAAGTAGTCAACCCCCTGCCGCTGACTGAAGCCACGAGCCACGTAACGCGCCTTGAAGACAGGCGGAGAACCCGGCGGCCGCTTCACCCTGAAAATCCACATGCCACTGACGATGTTCGCCCCAGGAGGGGGAACAGCGTCAACGTAGGTGCCTGTGGACTTCCAGGAAGCCATCTCTGCATCCATAGCTGCCTGCCACTGAGAGGAGTAGGGACCCTCTATCGCCTCCGCGTAAGAGCGCGGAGTCGGGATGTCTGGTGCATCCGGGTCTCCCTCAGGGGCTAGCAGTACAGACGCGAGACGAGGTGGGTCGGCAGTAGACGGAGCAAACCCAAGTGCCGCGAGCGTAGTCCTCAGTGTGTCATGCCACTCACGTGGCGCCTGGCGGAGACCGTAGACTGGACGCCGGAGACTCCACTGGGTACCAGGAGGGAAAGACCCAGTGAAGCCAGGTGGGCGGCGCAGCCAGATCTCCTCGTGCAGACTGCCCTGCAAGAAAGCTGTGCTGAAGTCGAGAGAGTGCAGCTCGTAGTCACGGTGAGCAGCAACGTGCAGCAGGACCCGAAGAGTGGTCATCTTCGGGGTGGGGGAGAAGGTCTGAAAGCAGTCAACCCCCTTCCGCTGACTGAAGCCACGAGCCACGTAACGCGCCTTGAAGACAGGCGGAGAACCCGGCGGCCGCTTCACCCTGAAAATCCACATGCCACTGACGATGTTCGCCCCAGGAGGGGGGACAGCGTCGACGTAGGTGCCTGTGGACTTCCAGGAAGCCATCTCTGCATCCATAGCTGCCTGCCACTGAGAGGAGTAGGGACCCTCTATCGCCTCCGCGTAAGAGCGCGGAGTCGGGATGTCTGGTGCATCCGGGTCTCCCTCAGGGGCTAGCAGTACAGACGCGAGATGGGGTGAAGCGGCGGCCAGACACTGGAACTCCTCCTGCCTGTCCTCAAGGACGTCCGTGCCGAGGGCACACTCACCCCCGACGGACGGAGGACAGGCAGACTCAGACTCAGCGACAAGACTGGCAGCGTAGTCTAGACGACAGCGCGCAGCAAAGTCGACAAGCTCAGTGACAAGGGCAGACGCAGCAGACGACTCGAAGGAAGGGTCAGTGACAGCAGTAGCAAGGAGACGCGTGACAGTAGGACTGGCAGCACGAAGAGAGTCCGACTCCGGGTCGGCAAGAGCAGGAAGAGAGGAAGCAGGAGGAGAAGGTAAAGGGGCACGCAGAGGAGCAGTTGACGGATGCAGAGACATCCGGTGCGTGCCAGGGACAGGAGGAGGACGCTGACGCGACCCGCGACCACTAGCGCGCTCAGTACGAACAGGCGACGCAGGACAAGACGCAGGCTCACGACGCTTAGTAAGACCTCCAGTCGGACCAGCGTAGGGAGAAGGAGCAGGCAAAGGGGAGGCAGGCTGTAGCTGTGGCTGTGACCGGACAGGCTGCGGACCCTCTAAGGGAGGAGGAGGAGGTGGAAGACCAAGAACCTGCTGCAGGAGCGGAACAAAGTACGGTCGGGGCCGCGCAGCGACGCCAGAAACAGCGGGAACAGCAGCAGCACCCCCGGCAGGAGCAACCACTCCAGTAGCACCTCCAGCAGCACCACCAGAAGCTCCAGAACCTCCAGCAGCAGCACTAGGAGCACTGTCAGTCGGACCGCCAGAGGCAGGCTCAGCGCCAACCCCCTCAGCAGCACCAGCTCCAGGAGAACTCGCAGACCCAGCAGCTCCAGCACCCACAGGACTAGCACCGCCGGGACGCGCGGCAGCAGTGCCCTCTGCAGCCGAAGAACCACCAGCACCAGCAGCACGCCTCCAGCGCCTAGCAAACCACTCACGCAGCTCCTGTGGGGAGAGTGGCTCCCGGCGATTTGAAGCACCCCCAGGCTCAGCACCCCTAGGCACAGCACTCCCAGGCACAGCACCCCCAGGCTCGGCACCTCCAGGCTCAGCACTCCCAGGCACAGCACCCCCAGGCTCGGCACCTCCAGGCTCAGCACCCCCAGGCACAGCACCCCCAGGCTCAGCACCCCCAGGCTCAGCACCCCCAGACTCCGCACCCCCAGGCTCAGCACCCCCAGACTCAGCACCCCCAGACTCCGCACCCCCAGGCTCAGCACCCCCAGACCCCGTACCCCCAGGCTCAGTTCCCGCAGCAGCACCAGAGTCACCAGTGACCTCGACAGGCTCGACCGCGTCTACCTGGGACACACCTGAAGGGGCAGGACCCTGAGGGGGGAGGGGGACTACCGGGGGGGGACCTGGTACCAAGAAGAGCGGGGGTGGGGGGAGGGACAGAGTGCGGTAGGGGAAGAGGCGGTAGTAGGGCACCGACTCGTCGAACGTGACGTCCTGGGAGGACAGAACACGTCGAGAGGTGGGGTGGTAGAACTGCCACCCAGGGGCGTCGGGGGGGAACCCCAGGAAGACGCAGGGAGCAGCGCGAGGGGACAGCTTGTCCGCAGACAAGTCGCGGACAAACGCCCGAGATCCCCAGACCCGGAACGCCGACGCATCGCCAACCTTCCCCGTCCACAGCAGGGCTGGGGAGGTCTCCGGCCTGGAGACCCTGGGGTGGAGGTTGATCTGATGCGCTGCGTACCTGACCGCAAACGGCCACAGAAAATGGGGGGCAGCCGCATGCATCATGGACGTACGGGCGACGTCCATGACCATGCCAATGCGGCGCTCAGCAATCCCATTTTGCTGTGGGGAGTCCGGAAGCGTGAAGGACTGGCGGATGCCTTGCGCCCGACAGTAGGCACGTAGAAGGCCAGAGGAGAACTCTCCGCCTCTGTCAGAGTGCAGACGCAACACAGGAAAGTCGGAGCCAAAGCTCTGCCTGAGCTGAAGACGAGCTGCGCGGATCCAGTCGATCAGCACCTCAGTAACCTCACCCTTGCTGCGCAAGGGGAAGACTGTGGTGTAGCGCGAGTAGTCGTCAACAACGAGCAGGAAGTAGCACTCCTGACCCTGTCCACGGACGCGGGCTGGGCCCCACACGTCCATGTGAAGCGTCTGCAGCGGGGCCTCTGTCGGAGGAAACTGGGAGGAGTGAGGGGCAGCACGCTGGCGCCCCTCGACACAGGGGACACAAGCAGGGCCAGGGCCCTGAGGAAGGGGAGGTAGAGACCGGGGGAGACCAGACACAAGAAGACGGGAGGCCATGCCTCTGAGCCGAAGCAGAGAGGGGTGGCCAAGGCGGTGGTGCCAGAGGAGGGTCTCGTGAGACAGACGACGACACGAACAGGGGGAAGACTCAGGACCAGACCTGGACGCTGCGGCAAACACCTGACCAGACGAAGGGACCCTACCAGACTCAGTACCTGGAGGAGAAGCTGTGGTCAGGGTGTACAGGCTCGACCCTGGCCGACGTGTAAACGTAGCCAGGTGACGTCCCGTGCTAGCCTCCGTGCAGTGGGTCACCCGCTGACGAGCAGGAGTGAACTGGTGGACACCCGCATCCTGTAGGTCAGCACCACTCACCAGGTTCGTCGAGAACGAGGGGAGGTAGAGACCAGACAGGGTGCCAGAGGGGGCCGCCGGACACGGAAGTACCGTGGAGAAGCGAGACAGGACAGGCCCCCCAGAGGGGTCAGCCAGGGACACCGCAACCGGCCGACTCAGCGGCGTGAGAGTAGTGCGGTCCCGAAAGAAGGAGCGAGACGCTCCAGAGTCAAGTGTGAAGGTGTGAGAGGCCGAAGCCGACACAGTACCTGAGAGGGCAGACTCACCAGTACCTGAGAGCACAGACGCACTGGCACCTAGAGCAGCAGCCTCACTAGTACCTGACGCAGCAGTACCAATGCCCGGGTCGGGCGGGAAACACCGGTAACAGTCATCCTCATCACTACCAGTCACAACATACATAGCAGAAAGAATAGCATCAAAGTCAAGATCATAAATGGCTACACCAGCCCTAGACAGCTCCCCCCAGCGGGGGATCTCAGCGGCCTCCGGAAACTGCTGACGCCAGGCGTCGGTCAGGCGGCCAAAGCAGCGGCGGGCTGCGTGGGTGCCTCCACACCTCTCCCCCGCACGGTCGCCGGTGCGAAGAACGTAGGGGCAGGGACCAAACGCACCACCACGCTGACGCTGCAAGTACCACTCACGGAGCTGCTGAGGGGCGGGGACGGTGCGAGAGCGCTGCTGCTGCTGCTGCTGCTGCTGCTGGCGCTGACCACCCCCAGAGCCGCTCCGCTGGGACGAGCCACTCCGACCCCCGCCGCCACCGCCACTCCCGCCTCCACCACCGCCCCCGTCTCCACCGCCACCGCCCCCACTGGTACCCTCGCCCCCGCCTCCTCCGCTACCGCCTCCGCCGCCACCTCCGCCTCCACCGCCTCCACCAGTACCTCCACTCCCGCCACCACCTCCACCGCCACCCCCACTCCCCCCGCCACCCCCACCTCCTCCGCCACTGCCTCCTCTAGCTCCACCCACTCCCTTGCCCCCCTTGCCCTTGCCAGAGCGGCGTCTACCGCTGGGGGCAGACGCCGCACCGACCGACTCAAAACCAGCGAGGTCGGCCGCAGCGGCAGAGGCGACAGAGGGCAGCAGGGGGGAAGGAGAACACCCCTCAAAGATGGGGGTGCGAGGGTCACCCCGAGAGGCCCCTACAGCGACTATGCTCTTCTCAGCCGCTAGCAGGGACTCCTCAAGGAGGTCGACAGTGAGGGTGGTGGGACAGACAGAGAGAAACTGGTCCCTAACGACACGAAGGGACTCAGGGAGACGGGTGACAAGAAAGTAGAGAGTGATGTACATGGGAGGAGGGTTGGCGGCGCGGAACTCAGCAGGAAGGGCAGCGCGGTAGCGAGCGTCACTAGCGCGGAGGTGGGTAATGAGGTCAGCGAGAGTGGGAAAGGCAGCGAGGTCAGGGAAGAGAAAAGGTAGCATGAGGCGGCTCAGCGTAGCGGAGGAAGGGGAGGAGTAGCGTGCAACTACAGCGTCGTACAAGGCCTGAGCGGTCTTGCACTGACTAAAGTGGGCACGCTCGGAGGAAGGGAGGTGGCGACGCACAGCAAGACGTGCAGCAGCATCGCGGGTCGCCCACTTTGAGCGAACGGCGGAATCAGCATCAGGAGGAGGGGCAGGGACAGCGCCAGAGACAAAGTCAAAGAGAGAGACCTCATCGACCGCATCACACAGTAAGTACAGCTGCAGGTCCTCAATCCAGACTGCAAAGTCAATGGCTCTACCCTCAGCGTCAAAAGCTAGAACATTGGGGGTGGCCATGACAGCAGCTGACAGTCTCACCGGGCAGGAAGAGTCGGGTAGGTCAGCGGCGCAGGTACACAGCCCAGGAGCAGCAGTAGCCCGACAGGAGCAGGAGTGCAGCTCCTCTGGCGGCTCGGGCAGCTCGGGCGGCTCGGGCGGCTGGGCGGCTCGAGCGGCGCGGGCGGCTCGGGCGGCTCGGGCGGCTCGGGCGGCTCGGGTGGCTAGGGCGGCGCAGGCGGCCCGGGCGGCTCGGGCGGCTCAGGCGGCTCGGGCGGCGGCACGGGCGGCTGGGGCGGCTCGGTGGCGGCTCACGGGCGGCTGGGACGGCGCGTGGGGAGCTCATGGGCGGCTGGGCGACTCACGGGCGGCTGGGACGGCGCGCGGGGAGCTCACGGGCGGCCAGGGCGGCTCACGGGCGGCGGCGGCCGCGTCGGCGGCTCACGGGCGACGGCAGCGGCAGCGGCGTCGGGGGCTCACGGGCGGCGTCGGTGGCGTCGGCGGCTCACGGGCGGCGTCGGCGGCTCACGGGCGGCGTCGGCGGCGTCGGCTGCTCACGGGCGGCGTCGGCAGCTCACGGGTGGGCTGAAGGCCCACGGGTGGGCGGTTCGCGGGCAGCGCCGGCCCACAGGCGGGCGGCGTGACGGGCGGGCGGCGGGACGGGCGGCGGCGTCACGGGGGCGGGGGGGCTACGTTACGGGCGGCGGCGTCACGGGTAGCGGCGTCACGGGCGGCGGTTCACGGGCGGCTGCGTCACGGGCGGCGCTCACGGGCGGCGACGCACGGGCGGCGCTAAAGGGTGGCGCGACGGGCGGCGGCTCACGGGCGGCGCTACGGGCGGCGGCTCACGGGCGGCGCTACGGGCGGCCGCACGGGCGGCGCTAACGGGCGGCCGCACGGGCGGCGCTACTGGCAGCCGCACGGGCGGCGCTAACGGGCGGCTCGAAGGGGGCGGGCGCTAGGGCGGGCGCTAGGGCGGGCGCCAGGGCAGAAAAAAAAAAGTTCTAGGTGGTGGGCCCGAAGCACAGTTCCCACAGGGGAACCTGCTCTGATTCCATGAGAAGAAGTGAACGAGAGAATAAGTGAACTATGAACGAAGTGAGTACAAATAGGAAACCCTAACTGGGTTGTACCCCCTATGGGATACCCCACTATAGCCTACATAAATGAGTAAGCTATAATGTTCTGACACTCACTGTCAGAAGAATGAACAGGAATGAATGAATTAGCAGCAGGATGGGTACAAGTAGCAAACCCTAATTTGGGTTGTACCCCATATGGGCTACCCCACTACAGCCAACACAATAATCAGCATGTATGTTTGACACACCCCCATAGGCAAAGTGGGGGAGACCAAGGGGTCACAAGACCAGTCAAGAGAGGTAAAGCAAGCTCAGGGTGGATCACGAAGTCACCACACATTGTGAGCACAAGCAAATGGCCACAAGGACAGTTCACATGCAGAGTAATATATAAAGGAGAACAAGCAGTACAGTGATCACAACCTAGCAAGTGTAAGCATGCAGGTGCAAGTATATAGATCACAGTACAAGCAAAGTCAAGAAGTGAGCAAGTGAGGCCAAGTAGGTACAAGGCCTAGAGCAGTTCAGAAACGCTGATGATCACAAGGCGAAAGTGCCTTGGTGAAGATATCAGCAGTGTTGTCCCGAGCATGTAAGCAAGACGGAGCGGACCACTCTGCTACAACTCTCGAGTAAGGAAGTACCGCAGAGCCATGTGCTTCGTTCTGTACTCCAGTCTGTGTTCATGACACAAGGCAATCATGGCCTTGTTGTCGACGTACAGAAATGGAGGAGAACGAGGCGGCTCTCCCAAGTCGGTTAGCAGGTAGGTGAGCCAGCGTAACTCCTGTGCAGCCATGGCCCCTGCGTAGATCTAAGCCTCACAACTGGAGCTGAGAACAGAAGACGAGCGGGTAGACCGCCACGAAACAGAGCCGGAACCAAGGCTGAAGGTGTAACCCTGTGACGACCGCTGCGTAGCCAAGTCGTCAACCCAAGAAGCGTCTGCGTGACCAGAGAGGACAACTCGAGCCCGTCCTCCAAACACGAGCCCATGCCCGACGCACTGCACAAGTAGCGCATCACCCTCTTAGCAGCCTTCCAGTGCTGTGGTCGGTGTCTCCCGTGCGCAACGTAGCGTGCCAGGATGCTAAGAGGATAAGCAAGGTCAGGCCAAGTGCAGGTCATCAGGTACATGAGGCAGCCCACAAGCTCTGGATACGGGCCACTCGGCTCTACGGACTCATCCGAAGGCAGAGCTGAGAGCGAGTGACCGGTAGGTAGAGGAGTGGACTACGGCGAGGAGTACTGGAAGTCGAAGCGCTGAAGGACCTGTTGCACCATGTGTGACTGAGTCATGGTGATGGTGTGGCGTGCTCTGTCCCGGGTGATTTGCAAGCCAAGGTAGCTGCGCAGTTCACCCAGGTCTGTGCACATGTGTCTCTTCTGCAGCTCCGACTTCACGTGGGCCAGTCCAGAAGTGTCAGCAGTGGCAAAGACCAAGTCGTCGACGTACACGAGGATGTAGAACGGCGGCAGCGAAGTGTCGGTGCGTAGAAACGACGACGGGTCGACAGTAGAAGGAGCAAACCCAAGAGCCGCAAGAGTCGTCCTCAGTGTGTCGTGCCACTCGTAGGGAGCCTGGCAGAGACCGTAGACTGGCCGCCGAAGGCTCCACTGGGTACCAAGAGGAAACGACCCAGTGAAGCTAGGTGGGCGGCGCAGCTAGATATTCTCGTGCAGGCTGCCCTGTAGGAAAGTAGTGCTGAAGTCAAGAGAGTGAAGCTCGTAGTCACGCTGAGCGGCGACGTGCAGCATCACCCGAAGAATAGTCATCTTTGCGGTAGGGGAGAAGGTCTAGAAGAAGGCAACTCCTTGTCTCTGACTGAAGCCTCTAGCAACGTAACGCGCCTTGAAGACAGGCGGAAAACCCGGCGGCCGCTTCACCCTGAAAATCCACATGCCACTGACGATGTTCGCCCCAAGTGGGGGAACCTAGTCGACGTAAGTGCCTGTGGACTTCCAGGATGCCATCTCTGCGTCCATGGCTAACTGCCACTGAGAGGAGTAGGGACCCTCAATCGCCTCTACGTAAGAGCGCGGGGTCAGGATATCTAGTGCATCTGGGTCTCCCTCAGGTGTAATCAGCATGGACACGAGATGAGGTACAGGAGCTGCAAAACACTCAAAGTCCTCGTGCCTGTCCTCAAGGACGTCCGTGCAAAGAGCACACTCACCCCCGAAGGACGGAGGACAGACAGACTCAGACTCAGCAACAAGACTAGTGGCGCAGTCAAGACGACAGCGGGCAGTAAAGTCGACAAGCTCAGCAACTAAGGCAGACGTAGTAGTGGACTGAAAGGAAGGGCCAGTGACAACAGTAGCTAGCAGACGTGTAACGGTAGGGCTGGCATCACGAAGTGAGTCAGACTCGGGGCCCGGACCGTCAGCAAGGGAGGACGCAGGAGGAGATGGCAGAGGGACACTCAGTGGAATAAGGAAGGACGAAGTGCCATCTGGTGCGTGCCGGGGACAGGAGGAGACGCGTACGCAGAACACGATTACCGGTGCGACGCGCGCGAACAAGCAACGCAGGACGAGACGCAGGCTCACGACGCTCCGCAAGACCTCCTGTCGGCTCAGTGTAAGGAGAAGGACCAGGCAGTGGGGAGGGTGGCTATAACAGCGACTGCGACTGGACAGGCGGTGGACACGCTAAGGGAGGAGAAGGACTAGTAGAAGGCGGGAGACCAAGAACCTGTTGAAGGAGTGGAACGAAGTACGGCCGCGGTCGTGTAGCACCACCAGAACCAGCAGAGACAGCTCCAGCACCCCCAGCTCCCGGTCTCCAGCTCCAACTCCTGCAGCACCATTAGATCCAGCACCAGCAGCACCACCAGCAGGACCAGCTCCAGCAGCAACTCTAGCTCCAGCTCCAGAAGCACCTCCAGCTCCAGGAGCTCCAGCACCTCAAGCATCTCCAGCACCAGCAGCACCAGTACCTCTAGCAGCACCTCCAGTGGCTTCAGCGCTAGCAGGTCCTCCTGCTCTAGCAGCTCCAGCACCTCCAGTAGCTCCAGCAGCACCTCCAGCCCCTGCAGCTCTGGTACCTCCAGTATGAGCACCTCCGGGACTAGCGGCTCCAGCACCTCCACTAGCTCCAGCTCCAGCAACACCACTCTAGGGGCTCCAGCGCCGAGCTAACCACTCGCGCAGCTGTAGTGGAGAGAAAGACTCCGGCAGTGACAAGACACCCGAAGGGCCTCCAGGCTCAGCACACCCGAGCTCAGCAGCACCAGGCTCAGCACCCTCAGACTCAGCAACCCCAGGCTCAGCACCCCCAGGCTCAGAACCCCCAGGCTCCGCACGCTCAAGCTCAGCACCACCAGGCTCCGCACACTCACGCCCTGCAACCCCAGGCCCGGCACCCGCAGGCTCAGCACCCCCAGACGCAACACCTCTAGCAGCACCAGAGTCGACAGCGACCTTGACAGGCTCGACACGGTCTACCTGGGACACACCTGAGGGAGCAAGACCCTGAGGGGGGAGGGGGTCTACCGAAGGAGGACCTGGCGTGAGGAAGAGCGGTGGGGGAGGGAGATGGGCAGTGCGGTAGGGGAAAAGACGGTAAAAGGGAACCGATTCGTCAAACGTGATGTCCTGAGAGGGCAGGACACGACGCGAGGTGGGGTGGTAAAACTGCCAGCCAGGCGCGTCAGGGAGCCAAGGAAGACACAGGCAACAGTGCGGGAGGAGAGCTTGTCCGCAGACGTATCGAGGACAAAGGCTCGACATCCCCGGACCCGGAACACAGACGCATCGCCAACCTCCCCCGTCCAACGCAGTGTGGGCGAGGTCTCCGGCAAGGAGACACAGGGTCAGAGGTTGAGCTGACGCGTAGCGTATTGGACAGCAAACGGCCATATAAAATGGGGGGCAGCCGCATGGATCATGGAGGTACGAGCGACCTCCATGACTAAGCCAATGCGGCGCTCAGCAACCCCATTCTGCTGCGGAGAGGCCCGAAGCGTGAACGTCTGGCGAATGCCCTCCGCACGACAAATGGCCCGCAAGAGGTCGAAGGAAAGCTCACCACCTCTGTCAATGTGCAGACGCAGGACTGGAGGGTCCGTCTCGAACCGCTCGCGGAGCTGGAGACGAACAATGCAGATCCAAGGGATCAGAACATCAGGGACATGCCCCTTGCGGCGCAAGGGGATGACCGTGGTGTAACGCGAGTAGTCGTCGACATCCAGCAGAATGTACCGCTCGCGGCCCTGTCCACGGACGCGGGCTGGGCCCCACACGTCCAGGTGGAGAGTCTGCAGGGGGGCCTCATTCGGCGGGAACGAGGAGGAGTGAGGAGCGGCGCGCTGCTGCCCCTCGACACAGGGAAGGCAGGGAGGGGCAGGCGACGGTGGGAGGGGAGGCAGAGACCTGGGAAGACCAGAGACAAGGAGACGGGAGTGCATGCCACGGAGGTGTGCCACAGAGGGGTGACCAAGACGGTGGTGCCAAAGAAGCGTCTGGTGCGACACGGCGCGACACGAGCAGGGGGCAGCAAGCTGACCTGACGCAGACGCAGACGCAGCTACCTGAGGAGGCGCAGTAGTCAGTGTGTAGAGACTCAACCCAGGTCGACGGGTGAACGTGGCCAGGTGGCGACTGGTCCTGGAGCACGTACAGATCGCCACACGCTGCCGTCCAGGGGTGAAGGTGTCAACCCCCACATCCTAGAGGACAGCAGTGCTCACCAAGTTCGTGGAGAACGAGGGGAGGTGGAAACCTGACAGTGACCTAGATGGAACCACCGGACAGGGCAGAACAGTGGAGGAATGGCAGGGGTCAGCTAAAGACACAGCAACAGGTGCAGTAAGTGGTGTGACTGTGGTATCGTCGCGAAAGAAATAGCGGGAGGCACATGAGTCAAGCGTGAAGGTGTGCAAGGCCGCAGCCGATGCAGTACCAGAGAGAGCAGACTCACCAGCACCTAGGGCAGCAGACTCACTAGCACCTAGAGCAGCAGCCTCTATACCTGGGTCTAGCGGCACACACAGGTATTAGTCACCCTCAGCACTAACAGTCAATGCATACATGGCAGATAGGATAGCATCAAAGTCTAGAGCAAAGATATCAACATTCTGCCTAAGCAGCGCCGCCCAGTCGGGGAGCTCGGCCGCGTCGGGGAACTCTGCGCGGAAGGCGTCGGTAAGGCGGTAGAAGCGGCGGTGCTGAGTGTGAGACCTCCCGCATGTCTGACCAGTGCGGTCACTTGTGCGAATGACGTACGGGCAGGGACCACTACCCCTTGCGGCCCCACGCTGAGGAAACCACTCACGGAGCTCCTAAGGCGAAAAAGGCTGACGCTGGTGCTGCCGCTGGCCACCTCCAAGGCCTCCCCTCTGGCTGGTGCCACCGTTGCCGCCCCCACCGCCGCCGTCTCCACCCCAACTGCCGCCACTACCGCCTCCACCACCGCTGCCGCTACCACTCCCACTGCCGCCACCACCGCCGCCACCTGCTCCGCCGCCCCCACCACCACTACCTCCTCCACCGCCGCCCCCACCACCGCCTCCACCGCCCCCACCGCCCCCACCGCCGCCTCCACCTCTCCCGCCCCCACAGCCCCTGCCTCCCCGGCCTCCCCGAGCCGTTTGACCTCACTTCTGGCGCCGCCCGCGCGCCATTCTGCGCTGCCCGCGCGCCGCCTGAATCTGTCAGCAGGAACAGCTGTAAATGGTCTAGCCATGCAGCGAACTCTATCGAGCGGCCCTCCGAATTGAAGGTGAGAAAGTTAAGGGTGGCCATAGCAGGCAGAGCAGGTGGGTGCGCTAGCAGCAAAGCAGCACGCTAGCAGCAGTGCAGTAGGGAGCGCGCTAGGAGCAGTGGAGTAGTGAGCGGCGCACGGTAGGGCAGGGTGCGCACAGCAGGGCAGGGCGCGCGGTTGGGCAGGGCGCGCGGCAGGGCAGGGCGCGCGGAAGGGGAGGGCGCGCGGCCGGGTAGGGCGCGCGGCAGAGCAGGGCGCGCGACGGAGCAGCGCGCGGGCAGGGCAGGGGGCACGGCGGCGCGGGGTGCGGGCAGGACAGGGCGCGCAACGGCGTGGCGCGGGGGCAAGGCAGAGCGCGCGGCGGCACGACGCGCAGGCAGGGCAGGGCACGCGACGCGGGCGGCGCGCGGGCAGGGCAGGGCGCTCGACGGTGCGACGCGCGGGCAGGGCAGGGCGCGCGACGCGGGCAGCGCGCGGGCAAGGCAGGGCGCGCGACGCGGGCAGCGCGCGGGCAGGGCGTGCGACGCTGGCAGCGCGCGGGCAGGGCAGGGCGCGATGTAGTAGGTGGTGCGCGACTCCCTAGGGCGCGCTGCAGCAGGCGGCGCGCTAACAAAGCAGTGCGCGTTGCTGCGGGCGGCGCAGGGCAGGGCAGGGCAGTACAGTCGTACGACGTGATCACACTAGCGCGTTGGGTGGGGTAGCGCTACTCGGTGGGCCCTAAGAGATCGGTCCTAGGCTAGGACCTGCTCTGAAACCATGTCGGAAGAATGAAAAGGAATGAATGAACTAGCAGCAGGATGGGTACAAGTAGCAAACCCTAATTTAGGTTGTACCCCATATGGGCTACCCCACTACAGCCTACACAATAATGAGCATATATGTTTGACACTCACCTACTGTTCAACTGGCAAAATGACAGCTGCCATTCTGATGAAAAAATTGCCACGTCAGAAGTTCCAGAACTGTGCGGACCTGTGCGGAGTCGTCAAGCAAAGCCACGTTGTGGACCTCCACGAATGAAGGGGAGTGTTGGAGTAAGCATGGAATTACTTTAGCATTCACGAAGGTGCAGCAGTATTGTAACAGCCACTACCAAAGCAACAACAACAGCACTATTGCGTCAGCCCATAAAGGGCACGCAGGTCAACAGTCGCAAAGTCAACCGTCGCGACTGCTGACCAACCTGGACCGAACGGTTTCATGTTTTACATGGTGATAGTAAGGGAATGTACTCCCTATAGTAGATGGCTAGCTAGATCTGTGTAATGTTTTCCTTGTGCATAGCTAGATCTATGCACAAGGTTTCTACTAGAACAAATACTTCCACTACACTTCCCTAAGCAGCCTATCCTATTCAAGGATTCTTATCCTAACATGGGGGAATACGGTATGGTACAACCAACCCACGACGTTGAACGTATAATATTTTTTTGGTGAGTCTGATTTTCAGGCAAAGAAAAACATGTAATTGTGAAATCTGTCATGATTGTTTTTACTGCCTTAGATCAATATGAGAACCTGAGAGGGTACCAGACCAAAAAGTAAAACTTTCCAAATCACTTACAAAAATGAGATGCAAACTCAAATGTGTAAATGTATAAAATTGCTTTCTTACAGTTGTAGCTTCTCTGTTCTTGACGAAGGTGGTTGTGTGCGAGCTGGTTGAGATCCAGTCAGATTGCAAGATTCGTATCAAGGCATTTCGTTATCGACGGTACAGCGTCCTCAGCGGAACACAGGACGCGTTACAATCAGAAATCGACCCGTGCAAGATCGGTACTTCGCTATATCGCTTTTGAGTGGTTTCCACGTTTTGTCACATCTCGAAAATGCACAGAGGCGTGGTGACAACTATCGCGTCCTCTCAGTCTGGTGATCAATGTTCCCCCTGCCACCCATCGATCATTCAATTTCGTGGACATAGGGCAATTTTGGCCCCTCCAATCGTGTCACTTGAGACTCTAGGTGGGCCAGCGATTGCAAATCGTGGCACGCTGATGTGGCGACTGATCTCTCAGGATCGGCGTGATCCGCGATCCTACCTCGATGTCTCAATTGTAACGCGGCCTTAGGCGCCCCCCTTTGGTAATAACCTTTCGACCCTAGGGTTTGCTTGGTGGGGACGCAACGACTCTGCAATGCTCACGCTGGGAGTTTATTGCTAGTCCAGTTCGTCCATTTGTGTAGTCTTTAGCCTGTCTCACAAGTTAGCTCTCTCAAATCCATCCTGCGTTTTCTAGTTCTTCTCACTTTCGCTGCACTATGGCTCGTACCAAGCAGACGGCTAGGAAGTCCACTGGAGGAAAGGCTCCTAGGAAGCAGCTCGCGACTAAGGTGGACCTAGCTGCTATATTTGTTTAAACGTATTTTAACCACTTAGCACGTAGCAGATGTCTCGTACGGCCAACTGACGCTTTGTCCTGTTCGAATGGTTCAGGCTGCGAGGAAGTCAGCTCCTACAACAGGAGGAGTTAAGAAGCCTCATCGTTATCGTCCCGGAACTGTCGCTCTTCGGTGCGTATATTTCAAAAATTTCCTACTTCAGCCAGTGCCATGAGCTTCGCTGACATCTCGCTCGATGACTGCGCAGTGAGATTCGCAAGTACCAGAAGAGTACCGAGCTGCTTATTCGAAAGCTTCCCTTCCAGCGACTGGTTCGCGAAATTGCCCAGGACTTCAAGGTATGACATTTTTGTTTAGGTCAACTTACATTGTTTCTACTTCTTTCCTTTATGTCTCCTTCCTCACGTCAATTAACCACTGCTGTTAACTGTGCTGCGTAGACGGACCTGCGGTTTCAAAGCCACGCGGTGCTCGCGCTCCAAGAAGCCGCGGAAGCTTATCTCGTTGGTCTGTTCGAGGACACCAACTTGTGCGCTATTCATGCCAAGCGTGTGACCATCATGCCTAAGGACATTCAGCTGGCTCGGCGCATTCGCGGAGAGAGGGCTTAGAGTTGTTTTATGGCCACTCTGGGCCTCTCATGTAATCCTTGGAGTTTTGGGTACAAAAACGCTGTTTAGTTCTATAGTAACCTGCCTCTTTGTCACTTACCACGGATTTTAGGATCTGGAATGGCTTACTTACTATATGTATATTTCTAAAAATCTGATGAATTATGGTGTAATGCAACATTTGATGGTCAATTACCTGGAGGCAGAGTTGAAGACCCTGATGCAAACGATCCATAACCCAGAAAAGCAGCAATCTTTTTGTACTCCTGCCTCAGTACAGTCGTTGGGCGCATCTCAATGCTCCCTCAATGTGCTCCATATCATCGCACTCCACCACACCACACCATACCCTGCACTACACCAAGAAACCACATTTCACCACACCAACACACCCCAGCATACCATCCCTGAAGGCCGGCATGCCTCACAGCAGCATGCAGGTAATTACTCCAACCAATTCTCCACAGTGGCACACACCACACCCTGCACCGCATATCAGAATGAGGAATGGTGGTTCCATTGATGTTGGTTGGGGTACATATGACAAACCCTAACTTCTGTACCCCCTAAGACAAACCTCACTACAGGCTACAACATTTGACACACCCCCATAGCCTAAGTGAGGGGTGTCTAGCAAAATCAAAAAGAGTACGGTCACAAGACCAGTCCAAAAGAAAACAAAGCTCAGGGTGGATCACAACGTCACCACACACTCTGAGCACAAGCAACAGTGGCCACAAGGCCAGTCCAAGAGATCACAAGTATATATAGCAAGTGTACAGACGAAGCAGGCAATAAACTCAAGTCTACACATGACTAGAACCTGTGTCAACAAGGCCTAACTGCACACAACACCTCTGGTGGTCACAAGGCGGAAGCGCCTTGGTGAAGATGTCTGCAGTGTTGGCCTCGGACTCCACGAACTCGAAGCGAGCCTGTCCACGTCTCTGCAACTCTCGCAGAAGAAAGTACCTGACGTGAATGTGCTTCACTCTGCTCTCCAGTCGCGGCTCACGACAGAGGAGGATCGACGCCTTGTTGTCAGTAAACAAGGTCGGTGCAGAGCTCGGCCGCTCACCAAGGTCGGCGAGCAAGAAGGTCAACCACCGCAACTCCTGTGCCGCCATGGCACCAGCGTAAATCTCAGCCTCAGCTGTAGAGGTCGAGACAGAAGAGGAGCGCGTGGAACGCCAGGAAACAGCTCCAGAACCCAGACTGAAACAGTACCCCTGAGTAGACCTGTGAGTCTCAGCGTCGTCAGCGTAAGAGGAGTCACAGTGACCAGTGAGTACGACAGACTGCTGCCCTCCAAGAACTAGCCCCACGCCTGATGTAGTCGCTAGGTACTTCGCCACCCTCACAGCTGCCGTCCTGTGAACAGGACGGTGTCTCCCTGGCGCAACAAAGCGCGCAAGGATGCTGAGAGGGAAGGCGAGGTCCGGGCGAGTACAAGTCATCAGGTACATGAGGCAACCCACAAGCTCTGCGTAGGGACCACTAGGCTCAACGGCTCGTCAGGAAAGGGACCAGTGAGTCTGTGGTCAACAGCGAGAGGTGTGCGCTGTACGGTGGAGTGCTGAAGCCCGAACCGCTGAAGGACCTGCTGCACCATGTGTGACTGTGAGAGTGTAATGGTGCGAGCGGCTCTGTCCCTGGTGATCTGCAGGCCAAGGTAGTGGCGCAGCTCACCAAGATCAGTGCACGTGTGTCTCTTCTGCAGTTCGGACTTCACGTCTGCCAAAGCAACCCTGTCCGGAGTGGCGAAAACGAGGTCGTCGACGTAGACCAGAACAAAGAACGGTGTGGAGCCACGACGAACGAACAGCGACGGGTCGGCAGAAGACGGCTGGAACCCAAGGTCAGAGAGGGTAGAACGCAGAGTGTCGTGCCACTCACGAGGGGCCTGGCGAAGACCGTAAACAGGTCGCCTCAGCCTCCACTGGGTCCCAGGAGGGAAAGTGCCAGTGAAGGCCGAGGGACGACGCAACCAGACCTCCTCGTGTAGGCTGCCCTGAAGGAAAGCAGTGGAGAAGTCGAGAGAGTGTAACTCGTAGTCTCTCTGTGCTGCTACGTGTAGTAACACCCGAAGAGTGGTCATCTTCGGGGTAGGTGCGAAGGTCTGAAAGAAGTCAACTCCCTCGCGCTGACTGAAACCTCTAGCCACGTAGCGCGCCTTGAAGACCGGGGGAGATCCCGGTGGCCGCTTCACCCTGTAGATCCACATGCCGTCGACTACGTTCGCCCCAGGGGGGGGAACCTCATCGACGTAGGTGCCTGTGGATCTGTAGGAGGCCATCTCTGCGTCCATGGCAGCTCTCCACTGAGAGGCCCAAGGCCCTGACACTGCCTCAGCGTAAGTGCGAGGAGTCGGAATGTCAAGGGCGTCGGGGTCACCCTCAGGGGCGAGGAGCATGGCACAGAGATGAGGGGAAGCGGCCGCCAGGAACTCTAGCTCAAACTGCCTGTCCTCTAGGGCGTCACAGCCAAGGGCAGACACACCCCCGACGGCCAGAGGACTGGTAGGAGGAGCAGCCACAAGCGTGGTGGCGTAGTCAAGGCGGCGGGTAGCGGCAAAGTCAGTAACCGCGGCAGTAAGAGCAGACACAGAGGACACAGAGGCACGAGGGTGAGTAACAAGAGAGGCGAGAACACGAGAGAGAACAGGACGGTACGTGCGGTAGTAGTCAGTGACAGGAGCAGGGAGCGACACGGTGAGGGCCGACTCAGGAGGAGACGGAAGCACAGACTGAGACGGACGAGGTGGACTGGAACAAAGTAAGGCAGTACGAAGGTCAGTGAAGGGAACAGGAGACGAGGGACGAGCACGAGGGGAGCGACGAGTAGCCCAAGAACGAGACGGAGGAGGAGAGGACAAAGGCGGAGAACTAGAGAAAACAGCGGGGGAGGAGTCAGGCGGAGGAAACGTGGGACCGTAGACAGGAGGAGAGGCGGAGGAGGGAGGAGAAGGGGAGGGGAGACCAAGGGCCCGAAGACCCGAGACAGGAGGAGGAAGTGGCTGCTGCTGCTGCTGCTGCTGCGACTGCTGCTGCTGCGGACGCGGCTGCTGCTGGGACTGCTGCTCCTGCGGGTCCAGCTGCTGCTGCTGCTCCGCCAGCCGCTGTAACTCCCTCTCCTCTCTCTCCAACTCCAGCTGCTCGTCACGGGCACGGCGAACACGAGCCTGGTGCCTAGTCGGGTAGGGGTGGGGGGGCGGAGTAGTGTCCGAAGCAGCGGCAGCTCCAGGGTCAACCCCCGAAGAACCAGGCGCACCACCCCCAGAGGCAGCACTAACACCAGCTCCAGACCCAGGCGCACCAGAACCCGAAGCAGGCGCACCCTCACCCCCAGAGGGAGCACCCCCAGAGTCCGCGCGGCCAGCACCGGCTCCCGGACTACAAGAGTCCTCTGCACCCACCGGGTCAGCTCCAACTCCAGAACCAGAAACTCCAGCTCCAACTCCAGCACCCCCAGAACCAGAAACTCCAGTGCCTACTCCAGCTCCACCTCCAGCTCCAACACCAGCTCCAACTCCAGCACCCCCAGAACCAGAAACCGGTACAGGAACAGGCGCAGCACCAACCTCTCGAGAGCTAGCACCAGCGGCACGCTGCGAGGAGGACTGTGGGGAGGGAGGCTACACCGGAGGGGCTACCGAAGGAGGAGGGGTAGCCTGGGACACACCTGACGGGGCTGGGCCAGGGGGGGGAGGCTGTACCGGGGGAGCAGGAGGGGGAGCGGCAGTCAGGAAGAGGGGGGGAGGAGGAACCGGGAGACCTCGACTGGGGTACCTGACGTAGTACGGAGTGGACTCCTCGAAACGGACGTCACGGGAGTCAAAGAACCGGTGAGAGGGAGGGTGGTAAAAGGTGAAGTCAGAGGAGTCCTCAGGGAAACCAAGGAAGACACAGGGGACGGCACGAGGCGAGAGCTTGTCCGCGGAGGTGTCGCGGACAAGAGCCAAGCACCCCCAGACACGAAACCGCGACGCAACACCAGGGGACCCTGTCCAAAGACTGGTCGGTGAAACCTCTGGTCGAGAGACACGTGGCCAGAGGTTCAGCTGGTGCGCGGCGTACCTGACCGCGTAGGGCCACAGAAAATGGGGGGCACAGGCGTGAGTCAGGGAGGTGCGGACGATCTCCATGACCAGGCCTATGCGGCGCTCAGCAACCCCATTCTGCTGTGGGGACTCTGGAAGCGTCCAGGACTGACGAATGCCCTGCTCGCGACAGAATCCAGCGAGAATGCCGGAGCGAAACTCACCATCACGGTCGGAGTGGAGACAGCTGACACGACGACCACGAGTGTCCTCGGTGGTGAGCAACCACCTGATCAGCGTAGAAGTCACCTCAGACTTCTTCGCCAGTGGGAACACTGTGGTGTAGCGGGAGAAGTCGTCAACGACCACCAGAAACTAACGCTCACGCTTAGGGCCTAGACGAGGGGCGGGGCCCCAGACGTCCAAGTGAAGCGTCTCAAAAGGCTCGGTGGCCGGACGAAGGGAGGAGGAGTGAGGGGTGGCGCGCAGCCTACCCTCGACGCAGGGACGACACGGCGGCGCAAGCGAAGGCGGCAGCGACGGCAAGACACGTGGGAGGCCTAGGACAAGACGCTGACTAGACATAGCGCGCAGACGTGGAAGGGACGGGTGCCCCATCCGGTGGTGCCACAGAACGGTGGGGTGGGCAAGCGACCGGCAGGAGCACGACGCAGCGACTGGAACAGAC